CACTCCGCTCTCTCTCACGCAGGCGCAGAACGTACGTGCTACTTGGCCGTCGGATGTAGTCCGTGTAGTGTGTTCAAATGCAACTGACACAGGGCGACGTGAGGCGACGTAGACGACACAACAGTTGGCTTTCGTCGCCGCTAGTTCTTTGATGTCAGTTTGGTGTGTCCGCACCTTTTAACATTTGGATGAATACATTTTTTTTTTAAACTAAACAAGCAGAAAATAGAGATTCTACTTGTTGGTCCACTAGAAGAAAGGCAGAAACTTCAGTTAAAGTTTGGTAGTCTGTCCCAGCAGATTAAATCACATGTCACAAACCTGGGTGTGATTTTAGACTCTGATCTTAATTTTAATAGCCATTTTAACAGAGTTGCAAAAACATATTTTTTTCACCTCAGAAACATTGCCAAAATTAGACCTTTTTTTTTAAACTCAGAACGATGCTGGAACACTTATACATGCTTTTATCTGCAACTTCCTTTTTACTGGTCTCCCTAAAAAGTCTTTGAAGAAACTACAAGTTATTCAGAACGCTGCAGCCAGGATTTTAACAAATATGAAAAAATAGAGATCACATTAGCCCTCAGCTTGCATCATTACACTGGTTGCCTGTTTCTTTTGGAATTGATTTTAAAGATCTTTTACTCATTTATAAAGCCTTAAATAATCTAGCATCCATCCATCTTATATCAGCGATTGCCTTTCTTCTTATGCCCCAACAAGAACTCTCAGATCTTCCATCTTCGCTGTTCCTAAGGTGTCCCACAAGAGAACTGGTGAAGCTGCTTTTTGTTTTTATGGCCCTGAACTATGGAACACTCTCCCTTCGGATCTGAGAATGGCAGTCTCCCTAGCCTTTTTTTAAAAATAAATTAAAGACCTATCTTTTTAAATTGGGTTTTAATACAGGTTGATTTTATTTATTTTATCAACAAACTTTTCGGCCCCTGTTCTATGTGCCACTAAGCAGAAAGAATGTGAAGTACTCTTTTATGTCTTGTCAGGATATCACAAGCACAAGTGCCCTACACAACGTTTACTCTCTGTCAGTGTGTGACAGGCTGCGAGTGCTTTACTTGATGACCAAGATCATGACTAGATAAGATGGCCCAAACTGCTCTGTCACCCCTCTGATGATGCTAGTTCCCTGTATCCCTGACCTCTCCTGTGTTCACGGCTCGTCAGGTATTTCTATGTGATCACATTGCATTTGTTTGTGTGCAGTTAGCATGCATGCAAAATTTGTGTCAGAGAGCTCATTCATCAAATGTTTTCTTTAACATGAATATAATTCAGCTGGTGGAAAAGAAAACAGCAGACAAAGTCGCCTTGAAAACAGTCAGTAAATTACTTTGGTGACTTTAGAATAAAACTCAGAGGACGTGAGGATTTCACATAATAAAAAGATGAAACAAAGATGAACGTGTTCATTGGCAGTTGAGCTCAGGATGGATGATCCACGGCCAGATCGTTAACATCTCCTGTGGTGTCCGGCTGTGAACCAGGATCAGGCCCCTGTGGACGCAGGGGTTGGTCCTTTGCTTCTCCTCAATGTCAAAAGTCCTGAAGCCGCTGTGATCCTCAGGAACCAGGCCCAGCTTTTCCAGACACATCCCTGTGTAAACATCATCAATGGGATATAAAACTACCTGCTGGGATACATTGTAAAGATGTAGCGCTAACTCTCCAGAGTACAGATATCCTCCGCCTCCTGCGTAAGGTGGGTACTGCCCCACAAACACACTCTCTGGGACAAAGTACTTGAGTTTTTTGTCTCGGTGTGGACCTGCGTTACTGATAACATCCCCTATGAACAAATCCTTGGCCTTCTTGTCTGACAGACCTTCCAGGAGGTCAATAATTCGTAAGGTGTTGACGAAGACATCATCGTCACCCTTGAGGATGTACTGGGCGTGGGGACAGTTTTGGCTGAACCACTCCAGGAAGAGGACCTCTTTCAGGGTAAGGTTGTAGAAGGTGTCCCTGTAGTCCCATTGGAGGATGTCATTGTGAAGCTTTGCCTCGTGGCCCAGCATCCCCAGCATGTCTGGGAAGTGGTCTACTGACAAGGTGTTGCCCAGCAGGAACACCGTCACCACGGTCCGATTGGTTACTATGCCTGCTCGACCCCACGTTTCTCGGATAGCTTGTCGCCGGTCAAAATGTGGGATCAGTGACTTGACCGCCAGCAGCAGGAAGGGTTTCTCATCACAAATATGGGGCTGATTTATCAGCATGGGGTACGTCCTGCAGCGCATGTGCAAAAGAAAATCCTGGAAGGGCTGCGGCAGAGTGTTGTAGTCAGAGATTTGTGTGGAGACTCTGTGGTCTGGTTCACAGGGGTTGAGCGGCCTGGTGTCGTTCAGCCAATCAGGGAGCTCGATGAGAGGGTCGCTGGAGAGCAAAAAGTTGACGATAGGGTTGTAAATAAAGTCCAGACGCTGCTGCTCCCTGTTCCAGAAGGATTTGCTCAGAACCGGCTGGTGCCAGAACCTCTTGAGTGGGATTCGAACCCTCTGACGGCCACTTTTGTCATGCCCAAGGTTCCATGACACGCCCACCAGGACGCAGATGAAGATGTTGAGCATCATCATCACGCAGAGCACCCTCTTCTTGCGGGCCACCGGCATGTTGCCTCCCCTCTGTGTCTACACAAAGGACACAAACAAAGATAAATCACTGAAAATCAACAAGCAACCATCAATCTGCAGAGTCAGGACTTACAACAAAGCCGGGATATAACGGGACATTTGGAAACATAGAGACAGCTCAGTCGACCCTGAAGCCTTCAGCAAGAACAAGCCTGCCAGAACCTGGTACAGCAGTTCAATAAGAAGCTGGATTTCAGAGCTCAGACCGGCTGCAAACAAGCCCACATTTTTATCTCTAATCCTGCAAGAACGGACCCATGAACATTGTTTCCCTCATCCCCTCCTTCCTCCCTCCTCCTCTTCCTTCAGACAGGAATCACACGTTTCCAATTCAGCCGTGCACATGACGCCAGTTAACTGGCAGCAGTCTTTGTCACAGCGTGCTGACTGCACACAGAGGACGAGCACACACATATGAGTAACACTGTTTTTAGACATGACGTTGACGATGTTTTTCAGTTACTCAAACACATGCAGAAACTTTACACTGTTGACATCAACAGATTTACCACCTGATGTCACTGTTGGCACTACTGAGTAACGCACCTACTTTTTGGTTGAGATAAATTTCCAGCGTTACTGCCATTTTCACTGAGGTAGTAAAAATATAGTAAAAAGAACTGGCAGAGAGAATTTTTTTTGTGTGTGTATTTTTTTTATTCTAACTGTTATCCATGACTGAACTAAGGGACAATGGGCCCCTGGGCGCAGATATGCAAAAGACCCCACCAACTCTTAGACTTTATGTTGGGTTTTTTGTTGTTTGTGTCTTTTTGAGGTCGTTTTGTATCTTCTTTAATTGTGGGGCATTAATAGTATATATAATTCAGTATGGGTGGGAATCAGTGGAGGATCCACAATACAATATTATCGCGATTTTATATGTTTCGATATGCTGAGGACTGTCATAAAATATACTGCAATGCATTACTTTTTTCAACTGTATTATGCCCCGAAGGAAAACGTTTTATCTAAAAAGATAAAATTTTCAGTCTGTCCATCTCACTTAAGCCATTTTTTTTTTCAGGAAAAAACTATATCTAGTGGGCTGAAAAAGCGACTGATTATATTATTCTAGTAGGCTATGTGAAGTTTAATTTGTATTTGTCATATTAATAATTTATATAATTAAAAAAATTATACTTGGCATTGTGTGATGATGCGATGTTGCCACACAAAAATATCATGATACTATGCTGTATCAAATTTTCCTTCCACCCCTATAATTCAGTAATATAACATAGATATATTGATTCCAGTGCTTTTGTACTTTTACCAAAATAAAATTAAGAATGCGTGACTCATTAGTAACACAGTATTTCTACACTGTGGTTCTGTTATTTTAACTTGGGTAAAAGATCTGAGCACTTCCTCCACTGCTGGTAGTTTGTTGTGCTGGAAAACTTTATCGCAGCGTTTCTAAAATTTAACCCCTCACTGATATAAAAACATGGACAAAATCAGGTACAGTTTTTTACTTACTGTTCTCTTATTCAGTGACACCTTGTCATGTGTTCTCACTCGTATATTACCTGTGACAGGTGTGGAGATGGTTGGTCAGTTGGGTCTGGTGGAGAGCCAGGTCTCTGCTGGCCTCGTGTGGATGAGCTGCAGGGTGGAGAAGGACGTCAGCAAGAAGAACCAAGTCATCTGCAGTTTAACACAAAGACAGGTTAACCAGGAGGAAACTCACTGAGGTGCTGGAACTATTTGGGCTGTACGTTATGATTACGTGTCCAAAGCTGGTGATGATGATGATGATGATGATGATTACTTGACATGCTGTTAGACTGATACACTAATGCGATCTAATCACACAGAGGTGGAGTAACACATGCAAAATGTCAAAGGGACAATTCAACTTAATTTCAGGGCAAATGTAATACACTGTCCGACCCTGTGTGCAGACAGATTATGAGTTTTTTTAGATTATTTTTTCAGGCTTTTGCTTTTAAACCTCCATATACCTCTGTATATGAAGCGCTACAGACGCCCCATGATTCTATAGCTTTTATAGCAGTGTATTGTCTGCATGTTCTCCCTGTGTCGGCATGAGTTTCCTCCAGGTGCTCCAGCTTCCTCCCACAGTCCAAAGACATGCAGGTTAATTGGTGACTTTAACTGCACGTAGGTGTGAATGGTTGTCTGTCTCTATGTGTCAGCCCTGTGATAGTCTGGTGACCTGTGACCTCACCAATGTCAGCTGGGATAGGCTCTAGCCCCACCACCCCTCTGAGACCCTGAATAGGATAACTGGTTACAGGTAATAGATGAATGGAGCACTACTGCTAGCTACTTCTGTTTCCACTGCAGCCTTGTGACAACTTGTTTGGAAGAGACAGAAGTGTTTCAGTTGAACCTGTGGCTTCATATTCTACCAAATGAAAAGTTATATTGCTCCAAATGTGTTTTAATTATCTGGTAAGTTAAAGCTCCAGAGTGTTGGATTTAGGAGGATATACTGGCAGGAACGGAATATACTGTAATAAGTGTGTTTTCTTTGTGTATAATCACCTGAAAATAAGAATTGTTGCGTTTTCTTTACCTTAGAATGAGCTGTTTATATCTACACAAGGAGTTGGTCCTCATCTACAGAGATCGCCACGTTGCACCACCATGTGTCTACAGAAATGGACAAACCAAACACTGGCTCTCTTCTCCCTGAAACTATGTGAACTGGTCTCTCTGCCTGATTTTAAAGCTCTCATTAGTACAAGGATGAATGAGTGGGTTGGTACTTGTCATTGTGCGTAGGTGTTTTAATATTTCTACGTGTTACTGTAGATCTTTTATGTTTTTATTGTGTATTTGTTTGGCTGTAACTTCTTGTGTGCTGCTGTCTTAGCCAGGTCTCCCTTGTCAAAGAGATTGTTCATCTCAACGAGACTTACCTGCTAAAATATGGGTTAAATAAAAATACATAAAATTTAATGGGTAACTTTAGTATTTTTAAACATGGAGCCTATTTTCCCCACATTTTTGTGTCTGAGTGACAAATGGGAACATTGCTGCAGACGGCAGCAGCGAAACAGGCTCACAGTGTCACCACTTGGGGCAAATGAGCACCATCAATTTATGTCCAATAAAACTTAATGTTTTTGCCACTGACAGGCTCAGATTGTGATTTTGAGTGTCTGACAACATCATAGAAAAGATCCCTACAGAGGTAGACCTGTTTGTAAGACAGTAAGATCCTATTTGTTTAACCAGAAACAGCCACAGAATCACTATCGCCAAACCCACCAGACTCCATTTAAATAAACATAAATTTTAGCATGTATAGAGCCAGCATATTTTCACACCTAACTGGGTGAATCAATGGTTTATTTCTACCAAACCAGAGTTGGTGATTTTTGAAACAGTGGAACAGACACACCAATGTGGCTTTTGCAAGTTTATTTTGCTCCTGTCAAATTTGGATGAAGCTTTTTATTTTTCGATAATAAAATTGCAGTTTTTTAAATGGAGTCTGGTTGGTTCGACCATTGCAATTTGGGTGCTGTATCTGGTTGAACAAAAAAGATCTTAATCCTTGTACTGATCCTTTCTATAATGTTGTCAGGCAGCTGGTAGAGTGGTTTAAGCACTTTAAGTGGATGTAAATTGATGGTGCACAATTGCCCCAATTGACTACATTGCAGCTTTTTTTGCCGCTGCTGTCTGCAGCACTCTCACTCAATACTGGACCAGTTTCAAAACTTGATGTTCACATTAGTCCCTTAGACACAAAAACATGGGAAAATAGGGTCCAGGTTGAAAAAACAGAAGTAGAAGAAGCACAGGGTGTTTCTGTGATGTCCCTCTAAGTGAGAGCACTGTACAGTGTATTAAAGGTTAATTATGAATAAACACTTAAACTATTGAACAGCTGTCATTCAGGTTATAATGCACGGTGTCCACGAGCGCAAAGTCAAACTAATGCTGAGTAATTTCAGATGAGACGTGGGTTTTTCCATTTCTTCAGCGCTGTTACAACATTCCATATGAAGTCAGTTAATTCCCAGACAAACAAACCTTTCAGACTGGCTCCTCACGCCCTCGTTGTGAAATAAAAGACAAGTCTGATCAACAGGCTGCAGCTTGTGTCACCTGAACTGAAGCTCCTTCCTCATCCTTTAGGCGGCGCGTTTTGGAGATGTGGACGCGCACTGATCCTCATTAAAGTATGAATTAAAAATAAAAACCAGACTCCACGCTGATCCTCAAATGTCCGACATGCACACAAAGGTCACATCCACCGTTCACTCAGTGGAGAAAGGTAGAAAGGTAGTGTACAAGCGTGCGTCCCTCCTGCGCCTTGCACGGGCTGTGACTCCTCCCTCAGGTTGAATGGGAGCTGACAGCAGTCTCAGCTGAGCTGCTGCGATACTGTGGGGCTGAACAGCCTGAGTGCCACCCACCCTCTTCACTCCATCCTCAACATTTAACATCTTCGTCTGGTCTGACGTGCAGTGAAACAAGCGTTCACATCCTCTAATAAAGTACTAACACCACACTGTGAAAACACTCCAAAAAGTCCAGCCTTACTTTAGCTAGAGTATGTGTCAGTAAATAATGCTTTAAGTTTGAAAAGTAAAAGTACTCATTGTGCAGTGAAATCTCACTGTTCTTCTACTCTATCTGATGCTTTTGGATTAATACACTGCTCAAACAAAAGTAAGGGATCACTTATTCATCACAGTCTAACAGGAAGTCTGTTCAGCTTCAGGGATCTCAATGTGACCATTCAGGAAGCACAAGTGAGCACAAGGAAATTGTTTTACATGTGGTGTCCACAGACAGCTGCTCTCTCCTTATCCTTCCTGACTGATTCTTCTCTAGTTTGGTCTTCTGCTAGTGTCCTTGTCACTACTGGTAGCATGAGGCAGTACCTGCAGCCCAATCAGGTTGCACAGGTAGTCCAGCTCCCAGCACAGTCTCAAGAGCATGGAGGAGACACCAGGATGATCAGCCTGTGATTTTAATGTTTATCTTTGGTTTTCTCAACAAATTATATGATGTACATCAGTAAAGATTTTCAACTTGAATTATTTAGTCATCAAGATCTGATGTGTGATGTAAGTGTTGGCTTAATCCTTTTGAGCAGTGTATGACTGCGGCACTAATGTGTCATTTTCCTGCTGTAGATGTTTCAGGTTGTGCTCATTCTAACTCCTTTATATCCTGTTGGTTAGTTTAATCTACAGCAATGCATCATATTCTATAAGATCATCATGTTTGTAGTGTGGCTGTCCTGTGAGAACCACCCACCTCTAAAAAGTCAACTATACACAGTGTCAGAAAAACAGCCGTTTTCAGCTTTGTGACGATGCATTTTCGAGATGATCCGAGAGGAAAGAAGTAGGAGAGTTTTCTAAATCCATGATCTTCAGTTTATCACAAACATTCAACATCAACGCATCTGGAGATGTGTGTTTTTTACTGGACAGGAGGGGGAAGAAAAACTGACTTAGTAAAGCTGTCAGATAAATGTAGTGCAGTAAAAAGTACAATACAACTGAAACTAACAGAAAAACAAAGTGTGAACTTTGTTCATGAATCACGAGGAGTTTGGTTCATGGTGGAAACTCTGCTGTCTTATCATCCCAGATCTCACCGCGCTGGTCAAAGGTTAACAGACGCCACAAGCTGATGAGCAGTAATGAAAGTGATGAGATGCTCCAACATGATGTCACTGAGGTTTATTACAAAGCAATTATGACAAAGAAATATTTACACTGAGCTGTTTTTCTACACATTAATGAAGCATCAGACAAAAAACATCTCTGAACTCCACCCTGCAAGTACTTCAAAAACCTTCCTACATCGTGAGGATTAAAGGCAAAGTTCAGATCTTTTGAAGCTGAGTCACATACTAATCCACAGACAGTATATCACAAACAGTAGATGTCAATCAGCTCCAGTTTGGAGAAGCAGGCAGAGTCCAATATGGAAGCGATCTACTGTGGTGGACCGGGTCAGCAACAAAACACACTTTAAGCACCTAAGAAAAATCATGAACGCTTTCAGCGTATGCTTTATTTAGAATATTTTCACTGCTTTATTTTGCTGTCAGGCAGCCATTTCCAAAAGGGAAATGAAGCTGTTGTATCGCTCTCTTCAAAGCCAGACTCCACTGAGAAAAACACTAGGCCCGTTTCCACTGAAGAAGTTCCTGGTACTATTTGGGGGGCGGGAACTTTACAGGAACGTCCTCTCGCTCGGCCCTCTCAACCGCTGTGTCTCCACTGAGAGGGCAGAGTAGGAGGAAGGTTCCTGTAAAGTTACCGGGCTGTGGATGTGATGTAATCGTTGCACGACCATTTTGACTGGGGCGACACGGCAAAGAAACAAACAAAGAAGAACGTACGAAGCAGAAGCAAGAAGAAGAAAGCAGACATAAGAAAGACGATTATCAACATGGAAGGAGCTGAGGTGGTTGCTGAGTTTCTGGCGTGTCTCTTCGTTTACATGGCAGTGGAAGCTATAAAAATGCGACTCCTCGTCTACTGAGTTTTAAAAATGCCGGCTATTTTGTCGCTTTCTATTGACGTCACATCCCGCCTTGAGTATATCCAATCAGCACCAAGTAAACTCCAAGCCCCACCCAGGAGTTTATCGGGCCGTTCTGAGTACCTACTCCGAGGCAGGGACTTGTTTAGCCCCTGTAAAAGTTGCGGAACTCTGTCCTTCAAGGGTGGTTCCTGCGGTGGAGACACGCACCAACAGCCCTAGTCCCGTAAAATTACCCCAAAGTTCCTGTGGTGGAAACGGGCCAACTGATTTAACAGTACCTAAAGCAGGAGCTGCTGGTCTGGTGCTGGCTTTAACACTTACTTTGTCTTATTGCATGACTCTGGCACTGTGAAGGGTTAGTTCGGATTCACCAAAGTCACCCAATAACACAAACTAGCTAACCAACTGAGGCAGTGGTAGACCAGCAGCTCCCGTGTTCACCGAGCTGAAATTACTGCTTTTCTCAGTGGAGTCTGGTGACTGTGAGGAAAGCATAGACGGGGAACTGAACCTGTAACAGCTTCCCTGTTAGATAGGTTATATCATTGTTGTATTGAAGGCCATCAAACAATAAATCTGACATTTGTTTCAGTATCTGACACACGATAAAGAACTGAATGAAAACACATCAATAAAAAAGTCAAGGGAAACTTTTTCAAGTTTTAATCTTCATTGGCACAAACCTGCATAAGAACATTTTATATACAGTGTGTCACAATACTGTCGGAGCATAACGTTGAGTTGGGTTGAAAGTGCAATCCTGTGGATCTAAAGTAGAGCTGTGACCTGAAGCAGGTTTATATGGTTTAAATTTTACTGACTTGAGTTTACTGTGAAGCTGACATCGGCCTTTTATTGCATGCTACTCTCAGTGTCATCCACCTGTGAAGTGATTTAGCCTGCCGCCTGAACACAGCAACAGAAAAACAAGATGAAAAAATAAAACTTGCTCATTAACGTTTAAATTAAAGGGAGTCGTGTATCCCGCTGGATCTGTGTGGAGAGTTTACGACCTGTATTTAGATTGAAACTCTGTAACTGAACTGGTGGATCGATTGTGTAATGATTCTCAAAGCTGTGGTGTTAAATCCTGTCCTGATGTCCCGATGAGCCACACGTGCTCTGTACCTGTATCCTCCTGACATCAGGGCTTAGGACCAGACGGTGACACCACTGTCTTAAAGGACCAGGACGCTCTGAACTCTTTTCAGCTGCCTGACAATGTTAATGACAACAACAGGCCAACTTTCATCAGTCTGACCTGGACTTTGTCAGCTGTGCTTTGAGATTAATGTTGATGTAACTTTGTTAACGTGCTAGCATTTTAATAATACAGGTAGGTATTAGGCTTGGGCGGTATCTGTTTTTCATACCTAGAGTATACAGTACCCTGCTTCAGTGGGGTACTGTATACTCCGCTTACAGCTTCACTGCATCATCCAAAATTATTCACTGCTTCAAACTGGTGGTTAAAAAAGGACAGTGCTGCAGGGGAACCATAAAGGAACCATCGTCCTATCAGAGGAGGCTGTAAATATGATGTAAGAAACACAACAATAAAACAGCACTTTGAGTTACAGTAGGTTACGAAAGTAAACAAAACTTGGGGTGGGTGTGTTGATCAGTTGAAGGCAGCTGCAAAAGCCACGATGGATCCCTTCTGACAAACACAGATCTGCAAGGAACAAACAGTTCTTCAGACGTCGTCTCCCCACCTCACTGTCTCTCTGCTGTCTGAAGAAAAAACTCTGGCACACAGCTTCAGGTGCGCTGAACGATTCTGTCAATGCTCTCCTGGATATCGGACATCTTCTTCAGCACCTGGTTGACTTTAGCTTCGTCAAACTCCAGACACACAAACTCTGAGTCCTGAGAGAGAGACAGAAGGAGGACATGATATTACGACACATTACACACTCTGATTTATACCACAGACATTCAGAGTGCTTCGGTAAACAGGTGAGATTTCATAACTTGTTAGCTTTGATTGCTTTATTTTGACGTCAGTGTCGTCACACTCTCGTCCACGCTTTTTGATGCAGCACTGTGGTTCTTCTGCGCCATATTAAACTGTCTTCATACACAGCAGCCTTCTCTGTGAAACACTAAACTACCAAATCTAAACTCTCAAACTGTAGATTTGGGGTATCGATTACAACTAAATAACCTTTTTGTTAGTACTTTAAAGTTGGAAATCTTTGAATGTAGTGCTGTAAAACATCTGCGATATTTCATTTGGGTAAACCTGCAAAACTTATTTTATTTTTTATATATATCAGAATGAGAATAATCTTTATTAGCCAAGTCTGTGTGCACACAAAAGGAATTTGACTTGCATTGCTCTCAATGTACTTACACAAAACAAAGACGCAACAGTTAAGAACAAGGACGACAAACCTGGACAAATAAAGGTAGGGAACAGAGGTGTGTGACGTGAGAGGGACAGGAACATGCCAGTGTTCTAAAATGTATTTACTTTTTCACTTGTGTGTTGGAAATGCAGCAGTGGCTGTGACACACAGTTGCTGGGGGATATTAAGGTACTTTAAAACCCAAAGAGCTCAAAGGTTCCCACACATAGTACTTCTTCTGAGTCATAACTGAGTCAAGTCTGAACACACAGAACGTGAACGCCCATACAGCCTCTTCAAATCATCGACAAAAAAGACGCTCCACATCCTTAGAGCTACAGAACTTGTCTGAGGACCATCCTGTTTTTAAGTTTCCTTCAGTTTTCAAGTGTTATAATTCCAAGTTACATATCCATTATGTAACTTGGATATGTTAACTCAAACACAACTGTGACTAGTACAAATATTATTTCCACTAGTTACAACTGTGTTTTCAATATCTGAAATTACATTCTTACTAGTTACAGTACCTAGGTGACATATCAATAATTTCATTTTGACTAGTCAGAGTTGAATTTGAGATATCTAGAATTCCATTTATGATAACTGTAATGTAAGAACAACTGTAGATATCTACAATATACATTTCCATCAGTTAGAATTAACATTTTAACTAGTAAGATCTGAGTTGTAGATATCATTAATTAGAATTGCAGCCAGAATTACATAATGGATATGTACGATGGAGTATTAGGTCCATATTGAAGAAAAAAATAATCGGAGATTTCGAGAATAAAGTGGTAATATTACAAGAAAAAAACTCATAAAATTATTATGCGAATAAAGTCGTCCCAAGAAAAAGTCATATTACGAGAATAAAGTCGTAACTGAGAAGTCATAATATTATGCGAATAAACTTGTAATTTAATGAGAAAAAAGTCATAATATTACGCGAATAAAGTCGTAACTGAGAAAAAGTCATAATATTACGCTAATAAAGTTGTAATTTAATGAGAAAAAAGTCATAATATTACGAGAATAAAGTCATAACTGAGAAAAAGTCATATTACGTGAATAAAGTTGTAATTTAATGAGAAAAAAGTCATAATATTACGAGAATAAAGTCGTAACTGAGAAAAAGTCATAATATTATGCCAATAAAGTTGTAATTTAATGAGAAAAAAGTCATAATATTACAAGAATAAAGTCGTAACAGAAAAAGTCATAATATTACGAGAATAAAGTCGTAACTGAGAAAGTCATAATATTACACTAATAAAGTTGTAATTTAATGAGAAAAAGTCATAATATTACGCTAATAAAGTTGTAATTTAATGAGAAAAAAGTCATAATATTACGAAAATAAAGTCGTAACTGAGAAAAAGTCATAATATTACGAGAAAGAACTCGGAATATTACGCAGGCCTGGAGTGGCTAATCGGGAGGACCGGGACAATTCCCGGTGGGCCGGTCTGACGTTTGGGCCGCGAGGGCCGGTCTTGAGTTATTTTTTTTTATTGGGCCGGTGTTCAGTCATGGCACTGGGTATCACATATGCTGCTACCGCTATACCTGGGCCACCTTCACTGGCGGCTCCGCGTGGCTGTGTGAGTTGCGCTCCAATTACGCGCGCATCTCCGGCGATGAATTTTGTGTCGTTTACCGACACGCCTCTTCATTAACAAAGTGCACGTATGAAGGTGAAGTCTCTGCAGCAGCTGAATTGGTGAGGTGGAGACACCGGCTTTGCGGTGCTCTGCGGTGGTGGTCTGATTACGCGCACAGCTCCAACGATTTGTGGAATCGACCACCGACAAGCCTCCTCATCAGAAGAGTGGACGGAGAACGCCGAAGTCCCTGCGGCACCCGAGGTTGAGACAACGGCTCCACAGAGCTCAGCAGCTGCGTCTGACTACACATACATCTCCAACTAATAGGTCGTGATCTAAAGTGGGCCGGTCTGAGCCGTGAAACTCCAGGGCTGAAAATGAGTCCCACTCCGGCCCTGCCTCCAAATGTGTGTGTCGAGGTAACACACCTGAGACAAAGAGCAGCTGCCACAAGCAGGTTCATCCTCTAACCCATTCTGTTTGTTGTTGGTTATTTCCTTAAAAACTACGACTTTATTCTCGTAATATTATGACTTTTTCTCAGTTATGACTTTATTCTCGAAATCTCCGAATTTTTTTTCTTCAATGTGGCCCTAATACTCCATCATAGATATGCTACCTTGGAATTATAACACTTCAAAACTAAATTATAGATATGTGTAAGGTCAGGTCACCAGACTATCACAGGGCTGACACATAGAGACAGACAACCATTCACACTCACATTCACACCTACGGACAATTTAGAGTCACCAATTAACCTGCATGTCTTTAGACTGTGGGAGGAAGCTGGAGCACCTGGAGGAAACCCACGCTGACACAGGGAGAACACGTACTTTATTCCTGGAACACTGACACTGTTGTCTGTGTTGTAAACCTGTGGACATACAGACCAGAAAGTCTGTGGATAGTTTGAAACAGTAACATGAACTCTTCTCTCTGACCTGCACTGTGCTCATTACATGCTACTTAAAATTTAATGAAGCCTTCTTCAGCTATAATACCAGGGTATACTATCCCATCTGCCCCCATCATTGTGTCCTCCAATTGTCCTCAAGAATGGACGTCACACCGCGATGATCCCTCTCCTGGTTTCCATGGATACAGCTATTGTCTCTGTCGTCTATTGTTCAGTTAGAGCTTGAAACGCTGTGATCAGGCGGTAATATAAAAACAGTTGTAGAAACCTGTACAGTGGCATGTTCTCCTGACAGGCTGAATCAGGAGGTGAGAAGCTGCCAGTAACCGTAAGAAATGGAAACCATGCTACAGGGCTTTTTATGTGCCACCTGTGCACCCATTTAGTGATATCACAGAGTATCTTTGGTTTTGGATTCCAACACTACGGTGGCAACAAGATCTCACCGCACTGCAACATAAGAAAACACATGCCTAGAGACAAAACACAAGCAAATATAGAAAACATCTTCACCAATATGACAACACATGCCTTCAGAAAAAAATGAGAAAACACAACTAAATACAGAAACACGGTGCAAGTAGAAAAGACAATGTGCACGACTGTGTTTGCAGTGCATTTCTGTATTTAAATGGTAAATGGACTTTTTAGAGTCACCAATTAACCTGCATGTCTTTGGACTGTGGGAGGAAGCCGGAGCACCTGGAGAAAACTCACAGAGGTGCTCCCCCACCCTGATGTTTGAACGCCCCACTATGGATCTGAACCGGGAACCCTCTTGCTGCGAGACGACAATACTAACCATCGTGATCACAGTACACACAGTGTCTCAAATCGCATACTTCCGTAGTAAACAGTTTATATTTTGAGTGCACAAGGCCACTAACTGACCTATGGCTAAGCCACGCCCCCCTCCACTCACTCAAACTATCAACATTCAGTGAGCGGCGCTATGGCAGGTGTCACAGTACACGGCATTTCACAGGAGGCAACTGATGATTTTTGGAGACATAACGATCAGATGTCATTGAGAAGTAACCAAAAGGGCCTAAACTACGCATTGGAGGGATATATTCATCATTTTATTGTTGAGAAGGTCGATGAAAAGCTTAAATTACAAGCCAAAATTTACAGGTCACAGTGTACGCTTGTGAACCGCATCTGGTTGCCGTCACCATCAAAGACAACAAGTTAAAGTGCCACTGAAGTTAAGGTTTTTGGCTCAGAATATGAGAAAAGGATAACGGCCTTTTTACCATCTTTACCAAGAGTGTCTCTCCGTTAGTTTGGTGCTACAGTATTTACACTGAATCATTCAGCATAACGTTTGCCAACCTTTGTTATCTCTGCCATTACAGATAAGTTAATGAAGCTAAGCTCCAGAAGTTAACGTTAGCTTAACTAGAGCCCTTTGGACAACAGCTAACAATGATGTACGATCACCAAAGTACAAAACTAGAACAAAATAGGCTAATGAACTCCCAGCAAACAAGGTGACATGATGAACAACGCAGCTAGGAGCTAACGTTAGGCTAACTTTAGCTAACGTTAGCTAGAGATGTTAAAGATAACTTTATATTTCTTTCCAGCAAAGTGACAATATGTTGCCTCAAACACAATGTTGACTTACCTTAGAACAGATGTAGACATCATTGTTAATCTTATTCACGTTGAGTTGATGTTGTGGTCTAACGTTACCACACAACTTTATCCAAAGGAGACACTTTTCTCGGTTGAGATGTGGTTTAAAGTGTAAAAAATACACCTGGTCGCCCAGCCTCTCAGGATACCTTGTGTCAGAGTTGCATGTACCCCATGCACACCGTTTGACCATTTTTAAACTTAAAATCTCAGACAAAGCTCATAAAACCGAACGTCCAGGCAGAGAATGTCTGAGTGTATAGAGTGTGCCAGTAAACCTGGAACTCCGTTAGCGCTTTTAGCACTTCGGGTTCTCTCGTCTAAAAGTAAATACGTTTTTTGAATGGG